ACTAACTTTCAATATCTATCAATAATGTTTCAGCAGAAGGCTGAAAAACACAAATTTTTCACATTAACTATCCACAAAAATTGACTGACAAATTTCATAATTTTTTCATTATGTGATGGTGATATTTCATCTGTAGATATCATCATCATTGGACTAGCTCATCTAAGTTTAGCATTCCAATTTTCATCTTTCTGAAGTGTCTGTTATATTCCTAAAAGTGATCTCTTCAATACTTTTAGCAATGTCATATACCTTCTTTTCTTCAGCCTTCATTTTCCAAAGTTTTATAACTTCTTCCTCATTGAATTGCTTTAGTTTGGTCATATTTGTAATAAAATAAACTTACTTATACAATACTAGCTTTAAATAGACTAAAATGTTCTAGCAGATTTTAAAATGATTTAAAATTTAAAAATAGTTTTATATTTATTTTGTAAAGTTATTTGCTAAGCTATAATGAAATTCCATGAACTTTTTGGATGTACCTCATATCTATCTAAATAATCACAAAGCACTATTATAGACCTAGTTTTTATAAATTAATTTCACTTTATATTTAATAATATTCTTTTTATAATCTTTAAAATAAGTATAATTTTATTAAAAAAATGATTTATCACTTCAATATAGACTCAACATATGTAATAAATAGAGTAAATTGACATTAACTCACTACTCAGATATTAATTTTAGAGATGATTTTAAATTTCTAATTTTCCATTATAAAGAATAATTAGCACATCATTTAAAACACAGTGCTTAAATGTAATAAATGTAATATAATATGATTGTGATGTGATTACAAGACAACAAACTACTTTAAAATTTTTTTGTTTTAATTTGAATGTTTTTGGAACACATTTGTTTTTCATGCTTGTTGTCATTCAGAAAATATCAGATTTGTATTTATTTTAAAGGAAAGAAATATAGTTTTAAAGAATATTAAAAGTGTGTTTGAGTGATTATTAATCTAAATATATAAAATTGCTTGTCCTGACTGACTGACTCACTCACTCACTGACTGACTGATTCATCATCGCCCAGAGCAAACCGCTTAACCTAGAGAGGTGAAATTTGGTAGACAGTTAGGGTACGTCATGGAAATGCACACTAAGAAGGGATTTTTCAAAATTCCCCCGCAGAGGGGAGAGGTAGAGCATTAAGGCTTAACCGGAAAAACGGCTTCTACTGTACTATTTTACATGCGATTTTTTGTTTTCAACTACGTTTGGTCTTTATTGAGTACTTAGGTGTATTAAATTGATAACATTTCAATTTTAAAAATGTTTGATCCGTTTTAAATTTGAATTTGTTATTGCATATTGGTTCGATTGTAAACGTTCCAGAAACTTGATCAAATTGAAGATAGTTCGTTTGATTCTTGGCAATTCTCTTCAGCAGTAGGTGTTATATGACAATTACTATGGTTATTGAAATATTAAATGTAAATGGGGTTTGCTTGGAAAACCTCCGCGGACGAAGTTGCGGGTAACAGCTAGTATTGTTATATATTTATACTTGCAATATATTAATATTATATTAAAACCTGTTATGGAAGATTTTAATTATTAAATGTATTTCATGAATCATTTCAAATGACTTTGGTTAAAATAAATGGTTAACGTTACTTCTTTAACTTTTGTTTTGTGATTTTGAGTAACATAACTTCAAAATTTTTTGTTGCTTCCATTCTTCCTCTGTAATAATATAATCCAAATATCAATAATGATTTGTATATCTGTTTCTTTAACTTATAAGAAATGTATTTGCCTTGTATATTTTATTATTTCAAGATTTGATTTGCAGAAATAGAGTCAGATTTATTTTTGTTCTTTTAGTTATTTTGCAGAAGATAAGTTATAATTATATATTATTATGTATAATTTAAAATACATTCAGGCCCATATATAACAAGATTGGTGTATAAATTATTGGTTAATACAAACTTTATTCTGTCACCTTGAATCTTTAATGTTAAACAAGACTAAATGTTCAGATGATATGAAGTACACTGTTATGAAGTGATATATTAGATATAATGAAGACTGCACTCGGTGATGTGTGGCATTGCTGATAATATACAGTACAAGGAAAAGCCAACCTTATTGCTTAAACTTGAACATCACACAAATTCTTATAAGTCTTCCAACTAAAAGTTAATTTTTTTTTCTCATCTGGCAATATAGTCTGACTTCTTGCTTTAAATGTTTAGGCCAATGACTAATGCTAGATGATCAAATCAAACGTGATGCTTTATTACTCCTTTTGCTTTTATTAAGGAACTACAGTAGTCAGTCAGATTTTCAATGTGAGGTCTAATCAGCTAATTGATTGTTTCTTTGTTCTTCTAGACTTCAAAAGAATCAGGATCATATTCACTTTCCTCTAAGATCTAGATAAGATTGCATATTGAATAACACTGTGAATTGAACAAAGTTTCAATTTACTATATATATAATACATTTGAACAACCTAGGAAAGTATAAACAGTGTAAAATTGTCATGTAATTTTAAAAAATTGATCAACATATTGTAAAAACTGTTCAAGATTCAAGGTAAAACTGTTTTCAGTTAGAAGAAGTTAATGCATTTATTATTTATATTATAGACATTGGTCACATGGCTAAAACATAACTTACTTAAAAACATGACATCTGCCAACAAGATGGTGCTCAGAACTGTCACTTTGGGGTTCCACATTTGGAAATGAATATCTGCAAAGGGTAACATGTTGATCTTTTCTTTATTCTTTACCAATAAATATCATTAGAATGTCTGACCACTGTGCTCAGCTGTCTGTTAAATACTCAATAGGCTAAGTGGAGCATATAGTGTGACTCCTTATAGTGCCTGAAAGCAGGGTGATTTCAGGGAAGTTTATCTTGTGAAGAATCACATGTAGAGGTGTGGTTCATTTGACTTTTTGCTCCTATGGGCATGCTCTACAGCTCTGTTAAGGTCCAACAGTGTCATTCACATCTGTAATCTTGTCCATATTGGTACAGTATGTGACAAATCCATAAAAAAAATCATTTTCTTTTTAAATTATATGACAATTTTATACTGTTTTTACTTTTCCTTTTATATGTTGTTCAAATTTATTATACAAATAATAAATTGAAATTTCTTTAAGAATAACATGTATAAATTCTGTTTTACAGTGTCAATTTGTACTGTGCTTTACTTTTGTGACAACAATATCACTCTAAAAGCAATTCAATAGTATTTTCACATGTACAATTTTCTCACTTATACAATATTTTCTCAGTTCCCTTAAAAAATGTATAAATGAGGTACAAATGTACTTTAAAAAAACATATTTTTTAAAAATTGGTTAAAAATTGAACAATAGATGGCACTGACATCAACATTACTGACTGTGTCACCACTTATCTGTCACTGACTGGTTACAAACTTGTCTATATATGTAATGATGACAAATAGTGTGTATGTGCTGTTTGTCTATGTGATTCTAACTATTTAGCCTATAATAAAAATACAATTCAACTAAATACATATATAATCTATACCCCTTAACATGAAAGTGAATGTTTTAATGAAAGTTATAGAAAACTGGTTAAAGCTTGCCTGCTAATGAGAAAATACCAAATCTATTTTCAAAGAATATAAGAAATGACAGAAAGTTAGTCATAACATCAAAATTGAAAATAATTTTATACTTGAAAATACATATTCATAGTAGGAAAGCAAAAATAAAGACATCAGTTCAATGTTAAATGTTTGCACTCTAAATAATTCTATTTATGCTAAATCAAAATAATGAAAATAATAGAACAACCCTATATTTAATTTATATAATTTATCAACCCTATATATTTAATCTATATAACTATATAACCCTATATATTTAATCTATAAACCTATATTTAATCTATATAATTTATCAACCCTATATTTTTCTAAATAATAGAACTATAATGTTAAAATTTATAATAATTTAGTAATGAATAACAAGAATACCACTCAGCAAATTAAATAAATACAATAACTTATCATTAAAATTATGAAAAAAAAATGATTAAAAAAAAACATCAAAATGACAACTTGCTTACATCTCAACATAGAGTGATCACAAATGAATTGATACAAAAACATCTTTAGGCTTTATCTGCCCAGTTTCAGGACAAAGTTCAACAGTAAAACAATAAATATGTCTTTATTTGACAACTGAGTAATGAATATAAAATATTAAAGTCTGAATGAATCATTCCTGTTTTAATGTTAAAACTTTTTAAAACTTATAAAAATTACTTAATTAAAAGAAAAAATTATTATATTCTTATTTATATAATTATAACAATAAATATATAAAAATTGAAAACACTTTCATTTATCAGACATTTTCGGCTATATTATCCGAATACCTGGATAACAGTTTACTATATAAAGCAAAATTATAAATATTACTTAACCAAATTATTAACATTTTATCATCATTAAGAATTTCTTCTATTAATTAATTAAACTGATCCATCAAGTAACTTTATCTTACATTTTAACAATTGTTTACTTTATCAGTATGCTAATTCATGAGAATATACACGCAACTCACAATCTACAGGTTGCTGACCCCTGCATACTTGTAAAAGTTGTATTAATTTGAAATATTTATAATTTGAAAAATGTTTGTATTTGTTTATTAAGCCACAAATATGTGAATTGGTTTATAAAAAGGCTGACCAAATCATAATTATTTTATATTTTATGTAATGGAAATACCACACATTTTTATGGGATCAATTATAAATTATATACCATAAAACACAACGATATATGACCCATTATGTTTATATTTAAGATTTAAATGTTATCTTAAGCTTCTTAAATCGAACTACAACACGTTTTTATCATCAATTTGAATGAATTCGAAATGGTATTACGGCTGTTATTGAAATATCTTTTAAACCGAATTTATAATACGGTAATGCAGTTCCAATCATATAAACTTGTAAATCGAGGATTTTAAATTGTGAACTTACTAAATTACAAAGACTAGTTGAAATATGAAACATTCTTCTTTCAAATCGATACAATATTCGACACCATTAAACTCGGATTAAAAGTTGTGTTGCCAGATTATCTCGAAAATGTGCCTATTATTTCTATAGATAAGAAACTCCTAATTCTTTTTAATTATAAATAGAAAGCTACGCAGTTCGTATCATAAAATCGCCGATTACCTAATGAAATTAATTTATAAATATTAAATAATGATTTATTTGAGTGAAAAAAAATGTTTTTATTTTTTTATGCGGAATTTTATTTTTTCGTATTCGAATAAATGTCATCGTAATTGGATAGAAAATATATTTATTTGCAGATTTAGAGTATTATCAGTTTTTTGTTATTGATATTTTCCTGTTTTTATATTCTTTTGTATTGTGTATATTATTAAGAATAAACTATTTGAATTTTTAAACTTCGTGATAGATCAATGGTGTCAAATTCAATAGCTCCGCTATAGCTATTTACTTATGGTAAATCGTATTTTTACTACTGGACAAGGAAACATGATTGATAAAAACATGTCTAGAATACAGTTTACGAGCAAATATAAGCACGAACAAATTATAGGTTATGCAGTGTCCCTGAATTTGTTCTATTAAGAGTGAGGATAGTCCCGCATGCTTGATTTGTAAGATTTATTGGAGCAAGGATCGAGCTGTATCGAGTAGTCGGCAATGTATTTCGGTAGAAAATTACGTCCACTCCGACTAAATAATCTACCTAATATATGCTGTACATATATATATATTACTTTTAATTTTTCTACTTCGTAAGTAAGAGTAATTTTTCCAATGTTATCGTGGATTCATCCAGGCCCGCAATGTGAGCGGCCGAATAGTGACGGACGAAACCGGACACATTCGAAACAGACTACCCTGAAAAATTTCTGGGCTTGCTCACCCAAACTTGATCTGTAAGGCTTCGATTATCCGACCATCTTATCATGGTATATTTTAAAAATTCGGATCAGTCTCGAACCTTAGAGCGATAAGATGATACTGTATTTAATCATGTAGTGTATTGCCATTTAGTGAATACGAGTTTTAGTAGCTAGAAATAATAAAATATTTTGAGGAATTAACTATGAAATATTATGTTGTCGTTTATTGATACATTATAAGTCTGCAACATAGTAGATAGGGTGGACATATTTCCTGCACTTTTTAAATTTTGACTTTTGCTCTGTGGTTCACTAACAGAGCCGTTTTTCAATGTCCATTATAGGTTCGGTTAGACTCACAATGGGGGTAACCGGTAGTAAGAGAGGGGCCTAGCATATCAGGATAAATCCATGAAAAATTTCTGGGGTTTTCCAGCCCGAGATTCAACAACGACAAGAGTTTATCGGCTACATGCAAAAAATGTTTTGCCTAAATTTTGTCTTCCGTCTCTCCATAAAAACAATTATACAGTATACCAAAAAAACAAATTTTTACTTTTATGAAATTAATAAAACATTTCAATTGAGTTTCAGTTTTCGAAGAAATCATACTACAAGAAATTTACTGTATATATATTTTCATTTTTGAAACTTTTTTCGTATGAGCACCTTTTACGAAAGCTTTTTTCCCAGCTCATTGTAGATTCGGCCAGGTTCACAATGTAATCGATGAACGTCGAAACCATTTTATTTTCGATTATTTGAAAAATAATCATATTCACAAAATGCTTTCGAATTTCCTCCTTTGATCAAATTAGGATCAAAGTACAGTGGGTGATCGGTTAACGAGCAGATCTGATAACGAACAAATCGGATTACGAACACTTTCGCAAAAGATTTTTATGTTCGGACAACGAACACATGATCGGATAACGAACACCCCATAGAACAAACACAAGAAGAAGCGATGTAAAATAATGAATATCGATTGGTCTTGTCTTCGGGCAACAATTCGAAACTTTTCGAGTGTGGGAGACATCGACATCGACGCTCAAGCCGGTATATACCGATCGGATAGTAAGTATTCCTCCGAACTTTGAAACTGTCCCTTGTAATTCCAGCCTTTTATTTTTCTGACAAAACAATTCATTTATGTATTCGCGAGACTCGGGTAGGCATTTGTTAAGTTTTCCGTCTGTTTTTCTTTACGAAACGTGACTGTATAATAGCAAAGGTAGAGAGTGTGCAGAAGATGCCTAATGTTGCTGGGCAGTATGGCGCGAACAGGTCTACAGTAGGTTTCAGTTCAATCTTATTTTAAAAAAATACTGTATAATCAAGAAGACTCAAGCAGCTAAAGGAGTAACAAAAATTACATCTGAGAAATAAAGAACATCGAAAAGTTCATAATGGAACCTGAAACGGATCTGACGACAGAAGAACGCCAAGAACTCTTGAATGAAGAACACCAAGAAACTCAGTGAGATATGTTTTCTTCTGAAAAAGAGGATTAATGCCAATATCTGTTATTAANAGTTCATAATGGAACCTGAAACGGATCTGACGACAGAAGAACGCCAAGAACTCTTGAATGAAGAACACCAAGAAACTCAGTGAGATATGTTTTCTTCTGAAAAAGAGGATTAATGCCAATATTTGTTATTAAAGATCCTTTGAAGAAGTGGGTGAATGTCAGAACAACGGTCTTACAATGACATCCAAACCAAGTTGAGGCTTGAGGATTTCTATAATTGAAACCCTATTAATTACTTACGAAAAATCCTGAAGAAGAGAGAAAAGCAATCGACATTAGACAGATTCTTTAACCCTTTCAGAAGGAAAAAACATGACTAATAAAAATGCAAAACTGTGTATGTATGTATTTTATTATTACATATAAATAAACGTAGTAAGAAAGTATATATTTTTTTATTTTTTGGGGTCTCCAAAACGAATTAATTAAATTCCCATTAAAACCTATGGTAAATCGATAATCAGTTAACGAACAATTCGGATAGCGAACAAAGTCTTGGAACGGATTACGTTCGTTAACCGATCATTCACTGTACTTTAGAAAATTATTTCGTGAATAATTTTGATGAAACTGGGAACGCGGCTAAGTGGTGAGAGGTGGGGCCCGATATATCCGGGACATATCATAACCGAAAAATTTCCGGGATTTTATGGACTGCTCAGATTCAATCCCGAGTCCTGAGTGGTAGGTTGATGTGTTAATCCCTGCCATACCGCTGTCCGGTATTAATGCCATGAAAATTTGCGAATGTTTTAGCGTGATATTGTATTAAAACTAGTAAATAGAATATCGACTAAGAGAAAAAGATATACAGTTGTCCCTTGATAATCCGACAGGTATGGAACCAAAGGTGCGTCAGATTACCAAAAGTGTCCGGATTACCGAAAATAATTATATATTTCGCATTGTTTTGCTAGCAGTAACTTACAATATTCTCTACTCCAACTGTTCGAACAGAACTGCTCACAGAAAACACACGAAATGTGTGTCATCGAGTAAGAATTGGATGGGGAGATTCACATCGCGACATGCTTCTGTGCAAGCAGACACGTAACGGGGACGGGTACCTTGACGGGAGGTGCGTCGGACTACTGAGNGAAAAATAATCATATTCACAAAATGCTTTCGAATTTCCTCCTTCAATCAAATTAGAATTAAAGTACTTTAGAAAATTATTTCATGAATAATTTTGATGAAACTGGGAACGCGGCTAAGTGGTGAGAGGTGGAGCCCGATATATCCGGGACATATCATAACCGAAAAATTTCCGGGATTTTATGGACTGCTCAGATTCAATCCCGAGTCCTGAGTGGTAGGTTGATGCGTTAATCCCTGCCATACCGCTGTCCGGTATTAATGCCATGAAAATTTGCGAATGTTTTAGCGTGATATTGTATTAAAACTAGTAAATAGAATATCGAGTAAGAGAAAAAGATATATTCGGAAATAAACAATAATATGAACATTTCTTCTCAGCCTCCCTGGAACGCAACGAAAGCGTCTTATTCTCACAATCAGTGCCGGATTTACCTTTGAAAAGGCCCAAAGCAATTGAAATTTTTCAGGGCACCTTGCAATTAAAAAAATAAATAAATAAATAAAATTGGAAGTGAAAAGAAAAGCAGAAATTAAAGAAATAATTAAAATAATTTATCATTAATATACAGATTATTACATAGTTTATCATAGTGTTTAGTGGTTTCAGTGGGTACTGATGGGCTTTTATGCAAACTAATATTCACAAATAAAACATATTGTTCTCTGTTCAATTTTGGCGAAAAGTCAATACCGTACTTCAAAAGTCTTTAATTTGCTTGCACTACTTTATCTGCATGCATAAATATCTGTTTTAATTCCGGAAATGCTTGTTAAATTTTTTTAACAAACCAGAGAATATGACATTAATTTTATTTAATAATAAATGTAATTATACAGATAAAATATAAGTAGGCAGATTGATAGTGGCAATTTTTTATTTCGAAAACACATCTATAGGACGCATCTGAAACACTTAATGCTCTTCATAATCTTCACATTTGATACTACAGTAATATTGTATGACGGCCGGATGGCCGAGTGGTCAAGGTGGCAGCCTAACGCTTTGGAGGACTCAGGATCGAATCCGGACGGGTCGAAAATTCCCCAGGAAATTTTCGGGGGTGGTCCGTCTGGATATGTCAGTCCCGTCCCTCACCATCCGGCCCCCCATTGTGGACCTGGCCGAACCCATAATGGGCTTGCTAAAAAGAGGCCCACAAAGCGGAAAGAGTTTTAAAATGTCCCATAATTGTACACGTAGTTACTTCTGGTGCGATGACTTCGACAACAGAGCCATCTGTCTTATCCACCGAGGCCTATTGGAGTTGTATCGAATAAGATGTAGTCGTATTTGAAACTATTTCTCTTACAAGTTAGTATCCGTAAGAAACGTTCTTATCTGTTAGCACTCAAACCCATTTCCTGCACAATAATGCTACAGCACACATTGTTAAGATATGTATTAATTAAAAAATGGGGTTCAGCGATTTTGGAACATTCACTGTAATCTCCTGACCACATCCCATGCGATTTTGATATCTTTCCAGAAATCAAGGAAAAAGTTCGGGATCAAGATTCAAAATGAGAGACAATATTGTTGGTGCTTGGCAGTGGTATGTACGAATTCTCTTGAAACTTTCGTCCAGGAAAATTTCGCGCAGACGATCCAGAC